TGCTATTCAGAGCGCCTCGATTTTCTGGGAAAGAGAGCCCGGAACTCCAAGCTGTAGACGCAAGTCTTGCCTGCAACGCCGTCGGAACGGCTGGATCGTGATGGGATCAGACCCCAACTGGCTGGGTGAGGCCCCAACGGGACGGTCCGAAGCCCAACGGGTAAGGCGCCTGGGACGGGTCTGACCTCAACGGCACTTACTAATCTTAATTGAATCGAGTCTTATACTTGCGAATGCCATATGGGACTCCTCAGAATAGCGGAGAAGGAGCATCGCTATGCTGATTTTGATGGGTCTCGAACGTCCAACTCCGGTCGTCTTCGCATGACAGACGTCAAAAGATCATGTGGAACGTCGTGAAAATAGTCGTAGGTAGCAGCAACGGTCGCAAGAAACAGAGTCGTAGTAGTAGTAGTGATACTGGTATTCGTTGTAGAAGTAGTAGTAGTAGTAGTAGTAGTAGTAGTAGTAGCAGCAGTAGTAGTAGTAGTAGTAGTAGTAGTAGTAGTATTCATAATAGTAGTAGTAGTAGTAGTGGTAGTAGTAGTAGTAGTAGTAGTAGTAGTAGTACTACTACTACTAGTAGCAGTAGTAGTAGTAGTAGTAGTCGTAGTAGTAGTAGGAGTAGTAGTAGTAGTAGTAGAAGTAGTAGTAGTAGTAAAAGTAGTCGCAGACGTAGTAGTAGCAGTAATAATAATAGTAATGGGCGAAGTGATCGTAGTAGTAGTAGTAGTAGTAGTAGTAGTAGTAGTAGTAGTAGTAGTGGTGGCAGCAGCAGTAATAAGAGTAGCACTAGTAGTGGTCGCCGCGGCGGTATCGAGTGTTGAAGCGGTGGGAGCAATAATTTTAATGAGAGACCAACAATCGCACACGCAATTGAAACAATCGTGTTCGAAATAATTGCGATCAGGGGCCAAAGTGACACTAGCAAGTCGCAGTTTGTGGCTCGCCGCTCCTCATCAGTAGCTAACACCTAGCGGCATGAAGTTCGTGGTCAGGATGCTGAGCTTGGCTGTTGGTAGTAGTAGTAGTAGTCGTAGTAGTCGTAGAAGTCGTAGTCGTAGTAGTAGTAGTAGTAGTAGTCGTAGTCGTAGTAGTAGTAGTAGTAGTAGTAGTAGTAGTAGTAGTAGTCGTGGTAGTAGTAGTGACAGTAGTAATAGTAGTAGTAGTCGTAGTAGTAGTAGTAGTAGTAGTAGTAGTAGTAGTAGTAGTAGTAGTAGTAGTAGTAGTAGTAGTAGTAGTAGTAGTAGTAGTAGTAGTAGTAGTAGTAGTAGTAGTAGTAGTAGTAGTCGTAGTACTAGTAGTAGTAGTAGTAGTAGTCGTAGTAGTAATAGTAGTAATATAGTAGTAGTAGTAGTAGTAGTAGTAGTAGTAGTAGTAGTAGTAGTAGTAGTAATAGTAGTCGTCTTCGTAGTAGTCGTAGCAGTGGTTGAAGTACTAATGATAGTAGGGAAGCAATGGGCGTAGTAGTGGTAGTAGTAGTAGTAGTAGCAGTAGTAGTAGTACTACTACTACTACTAATAGTAGTAGTAGTAGTAGTCGTCGTAATAGTAGCGGTTGCCGTAGTAGTAGTAGTAGTAATAATAATACTAATAGTAGTAGTAGTAATAGTAGTAGAGATAGTAGTAGAGATCGTAGTAGTAGTAGTAGTAGTAGTGGTAGTAGTAGTAGTAGTAGCAGTAGAAGTGGTAGTTGTAGTAATAGTAGCCGCAGAAGTAGTGGTAGCAGCAGCAGTACCAGTAGTAATGGTAGTAAAAATAGTCGCAGTAGTGATGTAATAGTAGTCGTAATAGTAATAGTAGTAGTAGTAGTCGCAGAAGTTGTAATAGCAGTAATAATTGCAGCAACAGTAGTAGTAGCAGCATCGGTACCAGTAGTAGCGGTAGTAAAAGTAGTCGTAGTAGTAAATGTATTAGTAGTCGTAGTAGTAGTAGTAGTAGTCGTAGTAGTAGTAGTAGTAGTAGTAGTAGTAGTAGTAATAGTAGTAGTGGTAGTACAAGTAGTGGTGGTGGTAGTAGTAGTAGTAGTAGTAGTAGTAATAGTAGTAGTAGTAGTATTACTAGTACTGGTAGTAATAGTAGTAGGAGTAGTAGTAGTAGTAGTAGCAGTAGTAGTGGTGTTTGTAGTGGTGGTCGTAGTTGTAGCAGTAAATGCCGTCGCAGCAGTCGTAGTAGCAGCCGAAGTCGTAGTCGTAATAATAGCGGTAGTACTAATAGTCGTAGTGGTGTTAATAGTAGTAGTAGTCGTAGTAGTAGTAGTAGTAGTAGTAGTAGTAGTGGTAGTAGTAGTAGTAGTAGTAGTAGTAAGCGCCGTAGGGGTAGTAGTCGTCGTAGTCGTCGTTGTCGTCGCAAAAGTAATAGTCGTAGTAGTAGCAGTTGTAGTAGCAGCAGCAGTATTAGTAGCAGCAGCAGTAGTAGTAGCAGTAGTAGTAGTAGCAGTAGTAGTGGTAGTAGTAATGCTAGCAGCAGCAGCAAGTTGTAGTAGCAGTCGTTGCGGTAGTAGTGCGACAACTACTTCTAGTGGCTGTAGCAATAGTCGTCGTCGCCGTCGTCGTAGTAGTAGTAGTATCAGCAGTAGTAGTAGTAGTAGTAGTAGTAGTAGTAGTAGTAGTAGTCGTAGTCGTAGTCGTAGTAGTCGTAGTAGTCGTACTAGGAGTAGTAGGAGTAGTAGGAATAGTAGTAGTAGTAGTAATAATCGTAGTAATACGATTACTCAAATAAGTAGTAGTAGTCGTGGTAGTAAGAGTAGCAGCTGCTGTAGTAGTCGTAGTAGTAGTAGTAATAGTACTAGTAGTAGTAGTAGTACTAGGAATAGTAGTAGTAGTTGGGAATAGTAGGAGTCGTCGTCGTAGTCCTAGCGTTAGTAGTAATAGTGATACTCGTCGCAGTTGTAGTCTCAGTCGTAGAAGTAGTAGTAGTAGTAACCGTAGTAGTAGCAGTAGTAGTAGTACCAGTAGTAGTATTAGTAGTACTAGTAGTAGTACTAGTAGTAATAGCAGTAGTGATAGTAGTAGTAGTAGTAGTACTCCTAGTGGTAGTAGTAGTAGTAGAAGTAGTAGTAGTAGTAGTAGTAGTAGTAGTAGTAGTGGAGTAGTAGAAGCATTAGAAATCGTAGTCGTAGTCGTAGTCGTAGTAGTTGCTGTTGTAGTAGTAGCAGTAGTGGTAGTATCAGTAGTAGAATTAGTAGTCGTATTAGTCGTAGTAGTAGTGGTGGTAGTAGTAGTAGTAGTAGTAGTAATAGTAGTAGTAGTAATGGTGGTAATACTACAAGTAAGAATCGTAGTCGTAGTAGTAGTAATAGTACTAGGAGTAGTGTCAGTAGTAGGAGAAGTAGTAGTAGTAGTAGTAGTAGTAGTAGGAGCAGTAGTAGTAGTAGTAGTAGTAGTAGTAGTAGTAGTAGTAGTAATAGTAGTAGCAGTAGTAGTAGTAGTCGTAGTAGTAGTAGTAGTAGTAGTAATGGTAGTAAAACGATTACTAATAAAAGTAGTAGTCGTCGTAGTAGTAGCAGTAGTAGTAGTAGTAGTAACCGTAGTAGTTGTAATATTACTAGTAGTAGTCGAAGTCGTAATAGTAATAGTAGTAGTAGTAGTACTACTACTACTACGACTACGACTACTACTACTACTACTACTCCTCCTACTACTACTACTACTACTACTACTACTACTACTACTACTACTACTAGTACTACGACTACGTCTACGACTACATCTACTACTCCTTCTAATAGTAGTCGGCACTGTGGAATGAGTTATCGTAATAGAGGGAGTGGTTGGTCCAGACTTAGGAAGTCAATGGACTCCAGAGAACTATTGGGCAACCCAGCTTGGAAGTCGAGCGAATCCAGCAGATACCGAGATAGGGTGCCAAGGCTTCCTGAAGAACCCTTCGAAGTCCGTGCGGACTGCGGAAGAATCGCCTCGTGCGGAAGGAACCCTTCGAGAAGGGATCCAAAAGAGTCGTACGGACCGCTTGAGGATTTTACTCTGGCCACCTTCCGCCGACCTGGCGCCGGCCTCCGCCGAGGGCGAGGTGCGACGGAGGCGAAGCCCTTTTCTCGAACCCGCTATACATGTTCCCGAGGACACTGACAGCAGCATCGAGCGACGATCTGAAGAAAGAGCCACAGACTCGAGCCCGCGAGGGCGATGGGGGAGGAATGGAGCAAGGGCGGGGAAGAGCAGCGGCATCTGGAGCAGCAGGACGAGGAGCAGACGGAGGAGAAGGGGGGGGCGAGACGAGAACGTCCCTCCCACGGCGCAGGTTTGCTCGTGACGTGGGACCCCATAGTCAACGTTTTCTCATTCGGCGCTTCGACATTGGGCGGAAGTCGGCGGCGAGCGAGGGGGGAAGTGAGAAGGAGAAGGCCTTCTCAGAAGGCGGCGGGACTTCTCAGAAGTCCTCGCGCCTTCTGAAACATTTTTGACCTGTCTCGGGGAAGGCTTAGAAAACTTCTCAGAAGGCCAGGGGACTTCCGAACCTTCTGAGAAGGCCTTCTCCTTCTCAATTCCCCCCCTTGCTCGCCGCCGAAGAAGGGGGGAGGAAGGGGCGTCTGGCTCCGGACTTCTGCTTCGCGCGGCTGTTTGGAATGGTGCGTCCGATGGGGGAGGCTCCACCTGCTCGAAACAGGTGCCAAGAACCGCCAAGATCTACTCCATGGCGGGGAGAGAGGGGCAGGGGGGCGAGGGCCCGCGTCAATCGGCAAAACAATAGGAAGAACTGACATAAACATATAACAACTCACAGGTCCGCGCGGATTTCCTGGATCCGCGCTGGACCCCCCTCCCTGGCGCGCGGAGCGCGCCAAGGGCGGCGCCGGAGGCGCCGCCAGGGGCCCCAGCGCCGAACCGAGAAATCCGCGCGGACCTGCGAGTTTTTATGTTTATGTCATTCTTCTTTCCCCCGAACAAGGACTGAAGATACGATCACACATCGGAACCTCGACCGCTTCTCGGGGGCCGGCTGCTCCTCCCCAGTGCCAGGAGGGCGGGGGAAAGGCCTCCAGAGGCCGAGGGAGGGCGGCGGAAAGGCAGCCGCCTCGTCTATTCATGCTGCTCTCGACGCGCCCGGGCCTGCAACGGTTCCCAGAGTGCCTGCAAGCCCAGGACCCCCGACGTGCCGATGTTTGCAGCATGTGGCTCCCCATGCAGCGGTTTGGATCCCACCCTGGGGACGGGCATTTCATTCCGAGTTCTTCGCTTCGTAGTGCAAGGCCCCGTGAGGGCCCCGAGGGCTATCAACACATGTCCGTCGTGCTGTCTTCATGACCCGAGGGGGCCTGAGAAGCAAGGCACGCAAAGGAGAACTCAAAGCAGAATATGTTTATATATATAGAGAGAGAGAGAGAGAAAGCGAGCAGAAGCCCGCGGCCCAGATAGAGGCCTCCCAGACGGGGTCGGAGCAGATTGGGTCGGGGGATCGCGGCGCGCCGTCGATGCATCATCGATGCAACGGCGATGCACTGGCGACGCCGGTGATGCATCGGCGACGTCTGCGTGGAGAACATTGGGCTCCGCATCGAGCCGCATCGGCGATGTGTCGGCGCGGCGGCGCGATCCTCCGACCCCATCACCCATCCCAGCCCCGATCTCAGAGGAGGGCGCATTTGAGCCTGTCTACTTGCGTGTGCGGGGGGGCCTGAGCCTGCAGCGAGCCGCAGGCGACCTCGACGTGCGGAAACCCCGCAGGTCGAAAAAGGCAGCAGCTGCACGCCAGTGCGCGTCTGAGGGGCGAACGCCACGCAACTAACCTTGCCCGATATATATATATATATATATATATATATATATATACATATGTAACACATATATATATATATATATATATATATATGTATAGATATATAGATGTATATATATACATCTATATCCTTTGCCCGTGTGACAAAGCAGACCCTTTGGGACGACCTGCCGCGCCACCCTCGGCGCCCAGGGCTCCGAGCAGGCGGGCGTTTCCCCGGGACCGGCCCGCCCCGCCGGGCGCGGAGGGCTGAGCAGGGACCGACCGTCCCGGCATTCCTGTGGTCCTACCACGAAGAGTTCTCAGAACCCAAAAATGCTCGAAGAACCAGAACAATGTTCCTAGAACAGAACCCGATGTGGTAAAACAAAACAGTCCCGGCCAGAACTGTTCTGAGAGCATCTCGTGGGATCCACAAAAAAGGTTCTTAGAACAGTGTTTGGTAGGGCTACTTTGGCGAGCCAGGACGCTTCGCCACTGCTTGAGAGGGGGGGGTGGCCGCCCCGACGGGGAGGCAGAGGTGGCCGGCCGGCCTCGCTGGCCCTCTCGGCGCCGCGCGTCGCTCGTGCCGATGGGCCTCGGACCACTCGCGCGGGGCACGGCCGGGCGAGGGGCCCGGGGCCGCCACGACACCGTCTACAGCGGGAGCGACCGGTGCCGACCGCTCCCGTGCAAGAGTAGGCCACACGCGGCCGCGGTGGGTTATTGGTAGCGATCGGTCGCTCGGGAAGGGTCGGCGGCCGTGCTCCTGCGTCAGCGCAGACCGCCTCTCCTCACAGAACGCACGCTTTGCCACTGACCGATCTGGGCGCCACCTTCTCACCCGGGGCGCCTGCAGCCCCCCCGGCCCCAGGGCTGGCGGTGCGCACAGGGGGGTAATAAGGGGGAGGGGGGAAGGATCTTTAGAAGGAGGCTGCCTCTTAGGAGGCGCCGGCCTTACATCTACAGAGAAGGCCCGCGCCTTCTCTGAAGCGGTGGTGCTTCTAACAAGGCTTCTCCCCTCCCTCGAACATCCTTCAAGAACATCCTTCAAGCACATCCTAGGGCAGAATCACATCCTTCAAGAACATCCTGGGCGGACCTAGGACAGAATCACATCCTTCAAGAACATCCTAGGCGGAACTAGGACATAATCACATCCTTCAAGAACATCCTAGGCGGAACTAGGACATAATTACATCCTTCAAGAACATCCTAGGCGGACCTAGGACATAATCACATCCTTCAAGAACATGAGCACCCCGGCAAAAACAGACCCCAAACCATGAGATCGCTCGAGTGTCACCTCCAACGTGGTGCGCAAGAGAATCCGGCAAGCACCCAGAACACCAGGGCACCCTCCCCGAGCCGACCTCGACCCGATGCCCCGATGCAGCCGCACCCCCACCCCGCGCGCGTGGCCGACGGGGGGCGCGCGCCCGGGGCCCCTCCTCCTCGACACGAGGATCAGGCTGTTCTGGTCGCGCTGGCCGCGCGGCGCCCGGGGCGCGAGAGGGGGGCGGCTCCCGCGCGCCCGAGAGCTCCTCCTCCTCCCCCTCCTCCCCTCCTCCTCCTCCTCCTCTCCCTCCTCCTCCTCCTCCTCCCTCCTCCTCCCCTCCTCCTCCTCCTCCTCCTCCTCCTCCTCCCTCCTCCTCTCCTCCTCCCTCCTCCTCCTCTCCTCCTCCTCCTCCTCCTCCTCCTCCTCCTCCTCTCCTCCTCCTCCTCCTCCCTCCTCCTCCTCCTCCGCCTCCTCCTCCTCGGCGGGGGGGGGGGGGGGGGGCGAGGCGCGCGGCTCGCTCGCACGCAGGTTTTTTGTTTCGCCTCCTCGCGAGCACACCCGCAAGAGCGAGGAGCCAAACGCGGGCCCTGCGCGAGGCGGCGTGGCGGCCTCGCGCCGCGGCGGACGCGCGGCACGCCCTCGCGCGGCACGCCGCGCCGGAAGTGAGGGCTTCGCCTGCGCGCCACCCCATGCGCGGGGGGGGAGCCATCGCGCGCCGGCGTCGGGGCGGCGGACCCCGCCTTCGCTTGCGTCGCTCACACGTCCCTCCTCCCTCCTCCCTCCTCCTCCTCCTCCCCCCTCCGCCTCCTCCTCCTCCTCCTCCTCCTCCTCCTCCTCCTCCTCCTGCTCCTGCTCCTGCTCCTCCTCCTCCTCCTCCTCCTCCTCCTCCTCCTCCTCCTCCTCCTCCTCCTCCTCCTCCTCCCTCCCCCCCTCCTCCCTCCTCCCTCGGTGCTGGTCCTGCAGCTCGTGCGCGTGCCGTTCGCACCACGGGCCAAGGCACGACGAGCTGAGCGCGGAGTGGAGGCTCGCGGGCAAAAGGGGGGGGGGGCAGCCGTGTGAGCGGGAAGCCAGCGCGGGCGAGCTGGCCCGAGGGCGTTGCTGCCAGGCCTGCAACGCCCCGAACAGAAGCTCAGGGCGGCGCCGTTGTCGCAGGTTTCGGCCTCTGGAGGCCCTTGCAGGGCCCCAGGGCCGCCGAAACACACGAGACGGGATCAGCACAGACTCCCCCCCCCCAGAGCATCAGCCAAACGAAGTCTCGCTTGCCCTCTGGGCGCGGGCGGCGTGCTCAAATCTGCGACGATGTGTTTTTGTTCAGCCCTGTGTTGTCTGTCCTCGACTTCGGCTTCCGGGGCCCGCTATCGGGCCCCAGAAGCCGAAATCGAGGACAGGAGCGGGAGGAGGAGGAGGAGGAGGAGGAGGAGGAGGAGGAGGAGGAGGAGGAGGAGGAGGAGGAGGAGGAGGGCGAGAGGAGGAGGAGGACCCTCAAAAACATATGGGGCACGGAGAAACACTCCCGCGGAAGGGGTCGGGAGCGTCGGGCCGCCGCGGATCGAATACTTCAGGAAGGACTCATCACTGCTCCGTATTGGTGGGCACCCCTCCCCCATTCGACGGGCGACAGACCAGGAACCGTGCCCTCCTCATCGTCCCTGCCAAGAACCGCTGCAAAGTGCACTCTGCGGCAAACATCTTTACCAATGCGCGGGGGCTCACTGCACATTCCTGTCGGTCGGGGGCACACTGTGCGTGCCCAGTGGCCCCGCGATCAGGTTGTGTTGTTCCTGTGTTGGCATGGGCGGCGCGGGCGCCCGCACATTATTTGCTGCGCGCAGGCCCAACATCTCTGTCAAAAACGAAGTCAGCACGATGGCGGGCGCATGCGCCATCCCACCCCGACGACACTTCGCGCCTGCTTGTTGCAAGGATAATGGTTGGGGGGGCGACGTGTTTCCCTGTGTGCGGTACGTGTGCCCTCGCACCTGGCAAAACTCCCGTGTTCCTTGTATGATGGAAGGGCGGATGGGAGTGAACGAAACGGCTTGCGGCCGTCCTTCGAGGCAGCTTGGCCCCGTCCACTACCCCGTTCCACCGGCCAGGGGGACGTCGAGAGGGCCCCGGAAGCATCCAGAGTGGTCCCAAAATGGTCTAAGTAAACTGCCAAGAGGCTAGCATATCGAAATATCCGAGAAGGCATTCATGGTCGATTCATCGGCCTGGCCAGGCTGATTTTAGCTTGGGCATGTTTTCCGAAAAGCGGATGTTGGAGGAAATTCTTAAGCCTTGTAGCAACACATGGTCAAGCATAACAAAACATAGAACAAACTGTCCCCATATTTGTTGGACACTATTTTTGAATCTTCATCATGTAGAGGGACATGCCCGATTGAAAATTCGCCTTGACGGCTGCCTCCTCTTTGATCCACTGCTTGCTCCTACACATCCCTGGTCAATGTAACTCGCTAGAGCGTCGTTTCTGGACGGGCTGATGGGAATATTTGGGCGCGTCTTAACCGACACCTAGCACACCATCCCCTTCCGTGACGTCAGCCTCGCCTTTCGAGTTCCCCTCCGGCCGCACACATACAGTACGTCTTGGGGCGAGGCGAGGGGGACGTCACGGAAGGGGATGGTTTGCTAGGGGTCGGTTTGGCCGCCCCTGAAATATTTTTAAGTAAGCGGCCGTGGGCGAGCGCGCCGGCGGCGAGTCAGGTCAAAGCGGGCTACGCAGCGACGAATTAGGCGAAAGCAGCGGAGAAAGGCCACGCCTAAAGCGGCTAACCGAGGCCTCACGCGGCAACCCAGCGGCGGACCGGCGAGTGGCAAGGGCAGCTGAGACTGAGTCGAACTGCCAGCGTGCAAGTATGCATGGCGTCGGAAGCACCAGGAGGTCGGGACAAACGACGACCCGGCCCGCCCCTGAGATATGCGAAGCGTCAAGAATCCCTCAACCCCAGAAGAGCAATCACAGGATCAGTCAGCATCGAACCGGGAACTCGGATCGGATCGGGCTGTCCGTCGAATCGGGCCGCATCGACACGGAGGCGTGCATGCACAACAGCGCCATGCGAGCATCTGGGCGCATCGGATCGCCGCATCTTTGGATCGGATTGGATCAGCCGACGCCGACATCGGATCGGACCGCTTGGATGGAAACGGACCCTGGATGGGGGGGCGCTTCCGCTCACACCTGTTTCTCTCCCTCTTTCTTGGACGCCCGCAGGCCTCTGCACAGTCTCCAGGGGTCGGGATCTGGGGCGGGGGGCAACACACTCCAGAGGGGCGCGCAGGGAGGAGGGAGGAGGGAGGAGGGAGGAAGGAGGATGGAGGGAGGGAAGGAGGGAGGAGAGGGAGGGAGGGAGGGAGGGAGGGAAGGAGAGGGAGGAGGGAGGAAGGAGGAGGGAGGGAGAAGGGAGGAGGGAGGGAGAAGGAGGAGGGAGGGAGGGAGGGAGGGGAGGGGAGGGAGGGAAGGGGAGGGGAGAGGAGGGGAGGCCGCGTGGGGGCCGCAACCTCTCCCTCAATCATGTGTCCCTCCTTCGGCACGTGCTGCTCCTCCCTCTCCTCCTGCACCTCCTCCGGCCGACCTCTTGCCCTCCTCCTCCTCCTCCTCCTCCTCCTCCTCCTCCTCCTCCTCCCCCTCCTCCTTCCTCTCCTCCTCCAGCTCGTCGTCGTCGTCGTCGTCGTCGTCCTCTCCTTCGCCTCCTCCTCCTCCGCCTCCTCCTCCTCCTCCTCCTCCTCCTCCTCCTCCTCCTCCAGCTCGTCGTCGTCGTCGTCCTCCTCCTCCTCCTCCTCTCCTAGTCCTTCTCCTCCCCCTCCTCCTCCTCCTCCTCCTTCTTCGTCTTCTTCTTCTTCTTCGTCCTCCTCCTCCTCCTCCTCGTCTCCTCCTCCTCCTCCTCCTCCTCCTCCCTCCCTGCTCATCCTCCCTCCTCCTCCTCCTCCTCCTCCCTCCTCCTCCTCCTCCTCCTCCTCCTCCTCCTCCTCCTCCTCCTCCTCCTCCTCCTCCTCCTCCCCTCCCCCTCCTCCTCCTCCTCCTCCTCCTCCTCTCATCATCATGCTCCTCCTCCCCTCGTCCTCCTCCTCCTCCCCTCCTCCTCCTCCTCTTCCTCCTTCTCCTCCCCCCTCCTCTGGCTCGTCGTCGTCGTCGTTCTCCTGCTCCTTCCCCCCCTCCTCCTGCTCCTGCTCCTCCTCCTCCTCCTCCTGCACACCCCTCTCCAGGCCCTCATCACGGCTTCCGCATGCCCCCCTTCTTCTCCCCTTATCCACCTCGCCCCATCACGATCATCCTCAAGCATTCCTGACCATCCTGTGGTGTTGGGTCCTCGCTTTGCATCCGCAGCTCCCCGCGTCCACACCTCCCTCTCCCCGCGACCCATCATCCCACTCGTCTTGTTTATCAGCATCATCATCGTTGTCAGCATCACCATGCCCATCATCGCTACCATCACCATCATCTCCATCACCTTTTCGGCACACCAGCCCCAACGCTTCATGGCCCCAGTGGCAGGGCCCGAATGGCGCCACCCCGCCGATTCCGGCTACGCCTCACACATGTCGCGGTCCCAGCGGGAGCTCCACCGAAGGCCGCAGAGTCCGAGGGCCCGCAAGGCGTCCCCCCGACCATATCGACACACTACTCACACGGCTCGTGGCCTCCATAGATGGCTCTGCCGAGGACCACATCGCCGCATGTAAAACGACGCGAAGATCGGGACAAAATCGGATCGGGATAAACCGAATTCTCTGAGAATCGGCGGGTTTGGAGGATGTATTGGGCGCCGCGGCCGCTCCAGAGCGTTCCGGAACGCTCTGAGAGCGCTCCAGAACGCTCTGGAGCGATTTATCCCGATCCTAGCCCTGTTTTAGCACGGCGCCACCCCGCCTATGTCGGCACACCCCTCACACTTTTCCGTGGCCCCCATTGGGACCTGCACCGAAGGCCTCAGCTACAAGGCCCGCATGGCGTCGCACCGCCTTATCCGGAACACTCCTCGCACTCCGAGAGAAAGAACACGGGGAACCTGACCAAGACTGAACGCGGAAAAGTCGGTCGACCTGGGTCACCGTACATCTTAGTCAGCGTGGTTTCGTGGATCACCCTCGCGAATCGGCGACGGCCGGCATGGACCATGAACAAGATCGGCGTCGACATCTTGGTCATGGTCATCGTGTTCATCCCTTCGGTGGGCATTGGCACCAAGACCAGCACGGGG